GTTAAACGACTGTCCGATAGAAAGCTTTGATACAGATGACGTAAAAAACTGCATATATCGACCTCCCCCTCCCAACACACACAAACACACACAGGCCAACTGTTGGGTGTCAAGCTTTTCTCTCTTTTTTTGTTGTTGTACATACGATTGTCATGGAAACAACATCTTTTCAATGATGCTGAAGTAAATAACCCATTAAGGGAATAACACAACTCTCTGATAACATAAGTAATCGAATTTGTGTCATAAGGCATGTAGACTCTTCTTAAACTTGCGGAAAAAAGTGGTCCTTTTTTGAGTTAATTTACTGATTAACTCGTCTCTGAACACCTTGACAGTAAATCCTATTTGATAACTTAAGAACAGAAGAGTCATGAAAATCAAACTGAAGGTTCTTCTCCTGTTGCATCAACAGGATCCATACTGACAACTATCTTTCCTCTTGCATGACCTCCCTCTAATTTTGCATAGGCATCTTTTGTCTTTGAAAATGGGAACACTTCTTGAACTATGGGCTTAATCTTGGGCATGTGAAATGGAAAAAAAAAAATGAATTAGTCAACTTTATGTTCTGTTCCTCCCACCCAATAGTGCAATGTTGTAAAATTAAATCAATTTCCATGCACCGGTGAATATTTATTCAAATTTTAGCAGGTACTGATATGAGCTGGTTGCAAATAAAACAACTAACTCACCACAATCCCTGATGAAATGAGAATAGTCAAAGTGGCACAGTGGTGAACTCATTAAATATACAGTGATTATACTAAAAGCCAATAATCCTGTGATTCCAAGAAACAGAATTGAACCTCTAGGGACTAACAAGGGTTTGGGTAGCCAGTGGGTTAGTATTCTGAACTATGAAATTGAAAAAGTGAGTTAACATTATTTAACAATCCACTGCCTTTAAGAGGATGCACGCTCTCCCCAGACTCTTATGGCTCCTATTTGCACATTAAATCCTTACATTTCTCATCCCTGTGCTGTGCATATCCACAAGTAAAATGGTTTTGACCTAATTAGAAGTGAGTTAAGCAAGATTGCAACCCTAGGGTTTTTTTTGTGTAAGTCATATTATTAACAGATACCCTTATCAAGCCTTCATCTGAAATCCTATGTGATCAAATGAAAATAACTAACGAGTTTCCATGAATGTAGAATTAAATATGAATGACATACCATCCCAGACAAACAGAGAGAGCAGATGTGATCAAGCGCAGAACCATTTGGACTAAAGAAACCCCAAGAAACTAAATTTCCACTGCATAGTGCCTGCAGTGAAAAAACAAACTATATTAAAAAAGATGTGATGAACACTTAAGCAGAACACCATTTCCCTTTAATTTCATGTTCCAAATAATCAGATGACCCTGTAATAGCTTTAGGCTAACAACACTATTGTCAAAATAAAAATAAATCGATGACTAAAACTATAATTCCAATCACATACTTTAGACCAAAATTGCTGTAAAATTTGTACCAGTTGAACACTTGTCAGAAGTGATTGACAGGTAACTTCTCCCTATAATATCCATACATCATCCAGCAAACAGATAACAAGAATACTCGAACATATTACATGAAAGTTATCTTGATCTAACACCAAATTCTCCTGACTAATTCGCGAGGAAATGTGTTGCAGCTATAGGGAAGAATTGACAATCAGTTCTTAGTAGTTGAGGGTAAAGTTTTTCCCTACTAGCAAATCATTCACAATTTTACCTCTGGAATGGCAGTTGATGCCAAATTTTGTCCAGCTGACAGGAGTCCTAGACCAGCACCTAGCTTATCAGTATTGTTCAGAACAGGTGGGGCCAACGTCACAAAAATTGACCCTTTCCATTTTGATAACAGTCTGGCATACTGCCTGCCCAGATCTCCTCCAAAAGGATCAAGAACTACATCAAAGCTGACAACAAAATGAGGAAATTCACATGAAAAAGATGAATAACCATGGACTATTATGAACTGCACTTAGAATGGAACACTTTATGTTCAACAAAATTCTGTAAATAGCTTAAAGTCACAAGTAACTAAGTTTTAAGAGAGACCACTACATAAGAGATGTTGCTGAAAGGAGTATTGTAAGTGAATAGACTACAAGAACACAACTGATAATCATATAGGAGTAAAAATTTGTTTATCTTTAGGCTTATACTCCAATTCCAAAATGGAAACTGACATAAATATCAAGAGAATGTCGATGCATCTTATTAAAACAAACAAGCAGAAATTTTAAATCACTTCACTCTGTTATGGAATGTTTTGTAACTTTAGTTAATTTGTATCACTGGCTAAATGAACACTTTCAATTAATGTTTGTTTCAGTGAGTTCAATAGACATGTTTTGATCCTCAAACTCCTGGTCTTTGTAAACAATAAGTACCCATAAGCATGAAGCTTAGCAATGATGTCATCTCTGTTTGCCCCAGTGATGAGGTAGCTAAATCAATGTCCCAAATTTCACTAGTCCACCATCTAATGGAATCTCACTCTATCAATTCTGCATTGTGCTACATTCTTTTACATTCTACTATTTCAAACCCAATAAAAATTCATGTCCATATCACTCTTTTCATAAATTAGAGGAAAAAAAAAAAAAAGAAAAATATCTTGAGCAACACAATGCACACATCAAGCTCTTACCTCCCAACTGTTTTCAGTTCATCTTCCAAGTTAGATGCAGTATAATCAACTACATGATCTGCTCCAAGACCAGCCACGAGTTCAACAGCATCACTGGAACAAGTACTAACAACATATGCTCCCCAGGCCTTTAACAGCTATGAGAAAGGAAGAAAGTAAAGCCCTCTTGAGTGTGTACATGTTCTGCAACTGTTCTCTGAGCATTGTTAACATAACATTTGACAAGATTCAGTACAACCCAGTACTACCTGAATGGCAAAGCTTCCTATTCCACCTGACCCACCAAGGACAAGAACACTGTGGAAAAAAGGAAAAAAATGACATTATTTTCCCCTATCTAAGAAAAAATACGAGAAACTTAAACCGAATTTCTGTGTAATCCTCCATGTCTAAACACACCATTCCACTTTCCCTAAGAGAAGTGTATTGACAGTACATATCTACATTTTATGGGATTATTTATTAACAAAAAGCACACAGCAATGTACCCCTAAAACATTTTGAAAATTTTTAAAGGTCACTCAATCATAGAGTATTACTTTTCAGGGCAATACCTCTGACATAACTACGTTGTATAGTTTGCTGTCTTGGGCAATGTAACAACACGAGGTTACTATCTAACTTGACTAGCCCATCTAAGATGCTTTACAATTTTTTTTATGAAACAAATTTCATTTGAGGAGCACATGAAAATCAAGTAAAGAGATGACTCTTGCCTGTGGGAGGCAACTTACGCAATTTCAGAGAAGACTGGATTCAAAACCCTGCCAAAATACTAGCTTGATGTTACTACTACCTGAGCTACAATGCACAGGGCTTAAAGTGAACCAAATTTGCCAAACAATTTTTTTAAAGCTTCTTTTCAGCAATTGCTTAAATTGCAGTCCACCTGCAAAGATCATATCTCTGCTTATGATGATTTACTTGCCGTTTCTTGTGGCACTCATTTGGTTTAAGGCCTGCTCTACTAATCAGAGCTGTCCACACTGTGCACGCTACATATGGAAGAGATGCTGCTTCTTGGTGGGTCCATATTGAGGGTTTTATCGAGATCTACTGTTCAGTATTCCAAGACAGAAAAAAAATGTCTTTAGCACCAACAGCAACAAATTGATCTACACTTTATCAGTGTTTTCGATACTAAACTAAATCAAATTACCTCATCTTGGCTGGCAACTACAACCTCGGCATGTGTCCCTCCAGAAATTACACTTGGAGTTCCCCAAACCTTAGAGAACGTGGAGAAGAACAAATATATAGTTTTAACTTCTGAACAAAATCTGCATCCTTCTAAGATAAAAGATAAAATGTTTTGATATATACCAATCAACTTGAAACTTAAACATCCTCTTCTTCTCGTTGGTAATACTTGAGGTGCCTCTAGCAATCATCTCATATCTTAATTTAAACTTTGTAGTAAGTATATTTCAATAAACAACTCAGCTCGATTCTGATTTCAAACTTCTGAAGATAGCATCACAGCCAAAATAAATGGCGTTTTAATAAACATGAGACGTTTGACAGTCTCACCATTAAAACGTCGTGCACTGCTTATTTCACAGTCAACATATTTAAGCAACCTTGCCGCTTCGTAGGTTACGAGATAAGTTAATTGTGTACAAAATTCTACCTCATCCCCTTTTTCAAATCTTCTGGCTAGCCTTCCTGTTTTCAACACTTCTCCGGAAAAATCTCTTCCTAAAATCAGTGGAAATTCGTCCACCTTTTCGGCCTTACGCCACAAATTCAATAAAGTCTGACCATAACCACTCCTCATTCTGTAGTCTATTGGATTCACAGATGCTGCGCGTACACGAATTAATACATCTGTTGATTTTTGAAGCTTGGGCAACGGTACATTGCTCAGTTCTAAAACATCGTTGGAACCATATCCGTCAATAGTCCATGCTTCCATTGAATGGGCGATGCAAAGTGAACGAGAAAACGCAAGTAAACGAGTAGGCAGATAATTAAAACATGTCGGATGATTTGTATCAGGGAGACATCGGCGAAGCGGCCGCAAAGCGCAGTTAGACAACATTTTGTTCGGATCAATCAAATTATTGACGATATTGGTTCACTTTTTTCCTAACGATGAGTCGGGACGAAACATCTGCCACTCTGCAACTGTGGAAAACCAAGGCATTCTCGCAGCGAGCGAATTCCTTACTCCATCGCCTAAGTCGCCTTCTTGTTTTAACCGATCCGGGCGCGGCCTGGGTGCGGCTTGTGTTCTAAAATAACTCTGTCCAGTCCAATATTGATAAATCGCTATCCAGCGGATATGCGTCAAAAAACAAAACGTACGACATTATCCAACGGATAGTGGTTTGTCCAGTGGATAGCGTTATCCACCCTTCGAAATCCGCGGCTAGGAGTCCAACATCTTTGCGAAAGGCGGAGAAATAATTCGGGAAAATATCAACTCTATTTTTGTAAAATAACCTTTGAATATTTGCCAATGATTTGATGAGGAATCTGTCTTCGCCTTATTTCAGAGGTAGTGTCGGTAGACTTAGACGTGCCCTCAGGGATAAAACATAGACATTCTCATGGTCTTGTCTGCACAGCTAGAAATCGTTGGGTAACGATGGGTCACGATTTTATTTCTTTGTTTTTCTCCTTTCCTTTTTTTCATGATTTTGTTTTTCCACTGGGCTCACCAACTTCAACGAAAAGATACCGTTTACTTAATTGATTTATTGACTGACACCGAGATGATAGGCAGGGAGTTGGGGAGGGGGGGAAACCAATTTCCTTTCCTTTTTTCCTTTTGATCTATTCTAGGAATCAAAAAATGCTTTAATTCATCCGTAATACTTATATTGGCGAGGCATAAATCTCAAATTGATAATGGAGTAATTTTTTTTAAAAATAACAACATACCCATATCACATCAACTGTTTGCGATCTTTAATCACTGCCTAACAGCCATTCACTAAAGTTCACCCTAGTGTTCCCAATGACGTAAGAGGTGTCATCTACACCAGGTAAGCCAATTACAACAAAGTAGATTATGCAACAAACCAATCAGAAAACGGGGTGACCGATGCGAAAGCGCTGCAATGTGGTTATGATACCAACAAAAAGCGCGTGGAAGGTCATCTTCACCTCACGTTAAGTTTCCAAAGCATGATGAGCCAGAGTCGAGATAAAGAGAGTAAGTTTCCAAAGAAACTGAGGTGCTGCGTAGGTGCAAGAGTATAACAGGGCAATTTAGTAAGAGGTTCGAGCGTTAGCTCTTTGTCAAAGCGAACACCACTTTCTGATTGGTTAAAGCAAATACGTTTGCTATGATAATTGGCATATTGAATAACAGAGGGAAATAAATGATACACCAAACCAAACCCTAAAAGCAGGGAGTTGTCATGGACAGTGCACTACCTCTAATAAATACTACTCATAAATACCAAGATTTAAAAACTTCTAGCCATTTAACCTTCTTCACAGGGTCAAGCGTTTGAAACAACTCACAAAACTTAAGTTAACATAAAATTTACCCCTAAAAACCAATAATTCCTCCTTAAACAGTGCCTTACGTTTTAAACATTTTTCGTGCGTACAAAAACTGCCAATTACGGAGCCCAGCCTAAATTCTTATGATTCCGGCAATTCACGAACCCCACTCGTCAACAGTCCGAGTACTAGGTTATACTCTTCGTACATGACAGGCTGCCAGCTCCGACGACTTATCTGTACGCACGAACAATTATCTTCCTTTCTTCTGAAGAGTGCAGTACAAACTCATTTAAATTTTATATAACTGCAACGAAGGACCACCAAGCAAACAATGTACAGTGGTAAATTTGTCTTCATTTTAGAGAATAAATTTGTCACTCACATTGACGTTCTGGATGATAACTAAATTTCCTCTAATTCGAGTTATTCCAATGACGCCAGATGAAAAGAAACTTAAACTGCAGCAAAAATACCAACAGCAATACAACAGAAAAGCGGGAAAAAAATCTTTAGGGTCAGTTTGAGCGCTAAATATAATTTCCTCCAGGTTTTTTTTCCTTTAAAACTCCCCAACTTGATCTTGTCGCTGGATCTCTCACGCTTTTAAAGGCGCAGACGCGAGAGGGATCTGGGTATTGCTATTGTTTTATGCGTCGATAGGATTAAAACTGGAACTATGACACAATTCCAAATCATATAATAAACTCTTTTGGGAATCTTATTCTATTTCTACTCAACATTTTTCGTTTCTAATTTCATAACAATTCAGTGAACTCGTTCCTTTCCGGAAGCGATCCATTTCTAATTTCTCCTTGTAAGAAAAACAAAATTTAGGAGAATCTGATAACATATCAACCTCAAGGTTACAATCTCCAAACCAGCAAAATCTGTATGGAGAGTTATATTATGACGTCTAGATTGAAAGCGTCAATGTGTATACTGCACAATTAGTTGAATAAAAAAACAAATGCTGTTTAAGAAGTTAATCTTCTAGACTGATGATCTTAAAAATATTGCATTTGAATTTAACCTCATATCAAAACTATCAGAATCTACCGCCTTGGAAGGCATTTAACCTCCACCGAGGCATAGTGTTACAGTACACAATTACACTAGCTCGTTTTTGCTTTATTTACAAGCATCTTCTTTGGATGCAATCATAAAAATAGAAATTTAGAATTCGGAATTTTCTCAAACTGAAAACGTTTTCCTAATGCAGAACTACGGTTAAAGAAAACATACGGTCCAGTCTCCTTTTTCATGCAGACATTACTAAAAGGATTCTGTATAATGTGTGTTCAGTCGTAATGTATGTTCTAGGTGAATTCATTTTTAGTCGATAAATATGCCACGTCAAATTTTATTTTGTTGCGGACACACTAATTTGTCGATAGCATTTCGCTGCGCCCTGCGAGCACTGAGATAGGAAACACGTTGGAAAAGCCTTTTGAAAATGGTAGGTACAAGAATACGAAAAACTAAACCAGTAAAAAGGGAAACTTGAAACTTTTTAGAAAAGCCACATCTATAAAAGAAGAAACCAACCGAAATATTATAACGAGGAATAAGGTTAGAGCATTGAGAGACAAAAACAAACAAACACACAAACAAATAGATCTAAAAAAGGAAATTGTAAAAAAGGTATAAATACAAAAAAAGAACAAACAGCTGGAAAAAAAAAGGAAAAAAAACAAAATATATAGCATGAGGAAGGCATACAAAAGGCATATAAAAACGTACACACAAAACAAAACGAAAGCAAAACGCGAAATAAGCGACACCACTTACAAGGAATGTACAAATTACAAACGAGCAATATGTCAAACCGTTCGTTATCTTTCCATGAAAAGGTTTCACCATGACTTGATTACTTTGGCTGGTACTTTGCAATTATTACCTCAGCTTGCTTCAATTCCCGAAATTGTCAAACAAGGCAATAAGCTTCCAATGCACAAATTTCCAGAACAACGCATTTATCGTTGGTTTAGGTAAAAGTTTCAGCTTCTATGAACTCTAACTGATGGTGAAATATTGACAGCACTTTCAAATGATTTAGTCTGCTAATTTAGGGAGTGTTTCAGAAAAGAACATTGTGGGTAATTGTAGAGTTGCACTGTTAATTACATATCCCGTTCGCACGGAAGAACTCAAAGTGAACTGGGTTCGACAACGGCCGCAGTTCGGGATTAAGCCCTCGCTACTTCCCAGAAGTTTCTTTTCTTGAAGAAACGATAAGCAGACTTAAAAGATTGGAAGAATTCGAGCCTAGATGCGAACGGGATACAATTTATGACTAAGCCGCTTAACAAACAAACCTTGCTACATCAGACAACCCCACCTGTTACCATGATTACATGTACATGTCACCTTACATTATTGAGACCAGCGGTCAACGTGGGCTAATCATGACGTCACGATTGCGTCATCGGGCTATCTCGATTGCAGCTACAAGTAACCCTCAAACAATGGAACCTATGTGAGCACCAGTGAGCCTTTTGACATTCCAAAGTACAATAGCTTGTGTTCCAACAACACGGATAAAAAGCCTCGGCATGGCAATTCGCACACCATTGTTTCTTCTTAGCCAAGCTGACTGCATCCTGCACCGATTTTTCAGCCTCGTCTTTAGCAATCTGCAGCGTTTTTTGAGTGTGCCTGTCTCTTTCCTGTTTGCATTTCTCTACAGCTTTCTTCACTGCCTCCTCTGTGATACGCTCTCGTTCTAGTCTCTCCTTATTCACGGCTCGCTTCACAGCCTGTTGTATGTCACGCTCCCTGTTCTTTTGAGTATCACGCGTGACTTTGTCTATAAGTTCTTTCTTATCTTGTCTCTCTCTTTCGAGCGCCTCCTGTAACATTTTTATAACACTTGACTGATCCCTAGTCATGGAAAGGTCAATAGTTGGGCCGCTACTGCCACAGTTCTCGGATGTTTCCTTCTGTTCACTCACAGACTTGTCACGTAACACTCGTTGGTCTTGTTCTTCCTTCTTTTTTTTCGCTCCTTCGACCAGCTGCTTAGCGCGCTCCCGCTCGCACTTCAAGTCCGCCTGGAGTGACTTCAGTTCCTCTTCTTGCTGCCGAACCTTTTCTTCCAACTGTTTTATCTTTTCTTTGTCTTCCTCATTCAAGACTACATCCGTCTGACATTCCTTGGTCTCGGTTTTTGGCAGAGGGGGAGTTTCCTAAAACAGAGTGATTCCCATCAGTTCAGGGTGCTTTAAAACTGTCTAATAATGCCGTAACAAAAGAAATCACAACAGAGAGACATGTAAGAACTTAAATAATAACCCGTAAACTACCTTAGACACGGTTGAACAAGCTAGTTTTGGTTTGCCTCTGATTGGCTCAGAAGGGAGTGAAATGTCTCGACTACGAGGCACAAACGAACGAAATCCTATATTGCTTTTGGTCCTTGACTGAAAAATGGATCATGTCGACCGACCTAAGGAACTCCAACTCTTTCAGCGCTCTCTTTGTGGACAGCTGAGGAAATCACACCATTGTAAAGCATCGTATACCTTTTTATTAGCGTCCGGGTACAGCAGAGCCAGCTGCCTCTGATATTCTTTCATCTCTTCATTAGCCTGGACCCATCTTTGAGATCGTTTTTTGACTTCCGGCTTACTTGTGATTGGCATCACGTGTTTCCGGCCAACCCAGGCCCTATTGGTTGACACGGAAAAAAGAACTTCAGTTGTGTAAAAAAAAATTATTCA